CCGCATTAGCAGTTCTGGAGGCCGAAATCCGTCGTCGTCAAGATCATCGCCTGCATGCATATTGTCGTTGACCACCGTGGTCACCACGAGACTGGAAATTGCGTGTGGCAGACGCCAAGCTCAACAACCCCGCGATGCATTTTTCAGTGCAATAAGATATCGGCCTCAGGATGCCGAGCGCTTTGCAGTCGAGTTTGCACCGCTATGCAGTGCACTCATATGATCAATCTCCAGCCTCTCATTTATTATGAGAGCAAGCATTTCTTGCAAGTTACATGCCATGCTCCAGCCCCACACGCCATTACTGACGAACGCGTAGTTGAAGCAAAGCTGTCTCCATACTGAAATCCAGACGCCATATGGTCAGCATTGCACGCTCTCATTGGGGGATTATCACGACATATCACCACACCATTGGTCAAAATCTCTACCCAACCCAAAAGAATCCACGTTTTGTGTTGGATACATCTTGAGCTCAAAATTTTGAATAAAATCTCCAATTAAAAGCTACCATCAATCGCACTATCATACAACATTCCTGTTCTTAACCCACACTTTACTAAACCAGAGATAACAATACTCCAAAATTCTATATTCCTATTATATTCCATTAAACAAACTCGTCCCAAACTCCTTCCTCCTCCAGTACAATATGCACAGAGCAAAACAACGGGGAAGGGGGACAAGGCAAAGCGAAAGAAGGAACGCAAGACGCCCCGCTCTCTACCATGTCGAGCAGCGGCAGCATGCGCAGCCCCGGGCAGGGCGGCGCCATCAGCAAGCGCTTCAACAAGGCGCGGAGACGTGGCAACAGCCAAGGGGAGGCTCTCTCCAGCGGCAGCGGCAGCGCCTTCGGGGGGATGAGTCCCGTGGGCAGCTTCGGTAATAGTGGACGTAACACCATCAGCTTCGGCAAACCGGCGCTGTCCTCGTCGCCTGCGACGACTCCTGGCCAGCACATGAACTCAATTAAGGACGATTCGTCTGGCTTCGTGTCCAGCAAGACGGGGTTCCTCACTAAGCGCGCCATGTCGAGTATGGACGCGTTCGCTAACTGGAAGGAGCGCTTCTTCGTGTTGGCTGAGGGCCATCTGTCCTACTATAAGCAGGGCGGAGGCTTCTTCAACACTGGCAAGGAAGACATCGTCCATCTTAAGGGCGAACTAGAGCTCACGCCCGATACGATCGTACGGAAGAGCAATATCGACGACAAAGCCAATTGCTTCGAGGTGGTGACCCCCACTAAGAAAATGTTCTGTCAGGCCAGCACGGCCAGAGAGATGGAGGACTGGGTCAAGTCTGTACGAGCTCATATTAACGCCCTTAAGAAGAGTCAGATGCGAGGCAGTTTCCACGACGCAGCGCCTGTGAACCTCGGCGCTTCAGGCGGCCC